AGTTTCAGTGGATGAAAAATATGTCTTTTAATTTTTCTTAATATTAGAATACTGTAGAAGAGATCACAGCCTATACTGACTTGTTTTAGCCTCAGGCATAGAAGGAAAAATCTCCTCGACAGTTTTTGACTTGTCACATGTATTCTCTTTGTTTGGCATGCCACACATTGCTGTTCACAATTAGTTGTGAAAGGTAGCAAAAAAAAAAAAGGAAAAGCTGTGTAGGCTTTGAGGGAGAGAAATACATTCAGTTTGTACCATCAGATTTTGTGCAGCTGCTTCCTTTTGAAAGAGAGAATAATGGTTTGTGGGCACTACTTGGACTGACAGGTGCAAAAAGTTTCTACTGGGATATAAATATTTGCCCAAGAAGGGCTTTTGGTAGATTCCAGGGGAACCTGCTGAAGTTAGTGCTGAACTCCTGACAGAAGGAAAGAAATGTATGCTTGACTTCAAACAGCACTCAGTGTGTCTGGAGTAAAATAAAACCATGTCAAAAGCTGGTATATATAGAGAGCAAGTACTAGTGACTGTGTTATAATGGTCTTACAGATTTTATCTGATGGCACTGTAAAGTGGGCATTACCTCTGTAATATGCAAATGTATATTGGGCTCAAAAGGACTTTGACAAAAAGTTAGATATTTGATTAGTGTTTTATTAACTATTGCAGGCTGTGTGAGTCATTTTTGTACTGTACTTTGTTCTTGATGTAATCTGCCTAAATGTGTTTTGGAAAAATAAAGTATTTTTTCCAAAAAAAGGGCTTTATTTTCCTTTCAAACAAAACAAATAACAACCAAAAAACCCCCAAAAACATTTCCCGAGTTCTATAAGATGGCACTTCAAAAGATAAATGGCTATTTTGAACTGATACATAAAAAGAACATAAAAAGCTTTGGGAGTTGCCAGGGTGGAGGAAGGGAGAGGGTGAGGCCCTTCTTACAATTTACTAACTTTCCAAAATTTGATTTGCAGCTAAGGAAGCTCTAAATAAAACAATAGGATGTGAAACAAAAATCTTTGACTGTTCATTTTTATTTCAAGTTACATTAGGAAAAAGTATTGTGGACAAGGAAGAATTTCTTACCTTGCTTCCCACTGTCATGTATCCAATGAAAAAGCTAGAAACTCTCCAAATTAAAATTACCCTAAATACAGGAAGCTACTGATCCAAGAGGTGAAACGCACAAGCTGAGATTAATAGCCACTAGAATAAAAATATAAATCTTAACACTAATTGAAGGTACAAGTTTGTAGCACAGCTCAGATTTCCAAAAGTGGCCTAAGTAACAAATTTGAAGTATTGTCACAACTCCAAAAATCAAAAGTTTTATTATCTTTAAACATTTAAAGCTCTTAACTGTGAAGCTGTGACAACTTTTCTGAATGTTCCAGTTGCACCAGACATTGAAAGGGCAATGTGTTGCCCAGGTAGCAGATTCTTTAGCAGTAGACTAATTATGTCATAAAATTACCCATGCTTAACTGAACCTCAGTGTGAAAGTTAGCCTGATAACCCTTAGTCCTGCTGCAGATTTCATAGCTCTACAGGACTATGCTTGTTACGACTCAGAATGGCTTGTTGCTTTACAGTTAAAAAGATACATATAAGAAAGGAATAGTCCAGAGACTATCAGTTCTAGAAAAACAGAAACAATTCCAGGGGAGGTTTTAGGTAAGAGCTTTCTTTAAATTGTTTGACCCTCACACTCTGTGAGAAGTGCTTATTAGGAAATCCTACTCATTTGTAGGATTTGCTCTTTGTTTATAGGCAGAACAGCAATTAACACCAGTTTTGAAGTGAACTTGATCCCACAGTCAGTGACATAGTTCAATTTTAGAGCTGGACATAGGAAATTAATTTTTGGTGAAGACACATTACTCTCTGTAGCCACAGACTTCATGGTAAGGATGCTAGTTACTAGGAGATGCATCTTTCATCTCAGTCCATCATGGCAGATTTAATACTCAGATGGCTTGAATTTGAACTGATTAGCTGTATGTGAATAATCCTGTACTCTGAGCTATCTATTGGCAAATTTAGTTAATCCCTTTGGGTGAACAGCTCTGATAATACCCTCCTCCTGTGACTGGAAATATTTCTGCTTACAGAAGGCTTTAAGGCTGGACCACGAGGAGGTACAAGTGTGGCAGGGGACTAGTTAATAGAAGTATTTTGTAACATGCATTTTAGTTGCAATAATGTTAACATACAGGGAGAGCGTGAAGCTCAATGCACAGAGAACTAGTTTGGAGAACAGCTTATCAGAACATCTCATCAAATGGCAAACCTCTTCCTTTAAACTTGCCTAACAGGAAAGGCTGCTGCAGTGGTGATGCAAAAAGTATTTGCAAACTGTGCCTTTACCTTGCGCCTGCTTCCACTTTTGTAATACCTGTTGTCAAACTCCCTACTATTTCTAAGATATGATGGTAACTTGACTGTGCCTTCTGTGGTTACATCAGAAAATTCATGTTAGCTTGCTGAAGGACAGGTTCTGGAGTAGCAGAGATTATTATGAAGGTGAAACTGCTTCAGTCCAAGCCAGTGCACTTTGCTGAAGGTGTATGGCTAAAAGCCAGTGCAGAAACTGCCTGGGGAAGCACACAGGATTGGTAAGTTAGCTAGGCCAGAACAGTCAGTACATGGCTGTCTTGGGTAGCATTTTCAGAATGGTGATTATGTTACTGCCAGAGCGTAGATCCTCTCTCTTCTTCCCATTCCCCACAGGTGATATTATGAATCAAACGGATTTTGTTTGAAGCCACTGAGGCATAATACTGCTGCTTGCAAGCTCTGATATTCACTTCCTCATTTTTTCAGTCATGCTCTTGAGACAGCAACAGGATGAAAAAGAGACAAAGAAAAGTACCAGTTTTCAGGAGGCATAATTTTGCCTATGAGTTTCCAATTTTTTTATATTGCATGGCCATCTCCACACTTTTATTTTCTATGTCTGAAAAAAGCACTTCTGTTTAGTCTTGATCCTAGGGAATACCAAGTGAGACATGCAGCTGCGTCAGGGCAACTCTAAGTAACAGAAAAAGGTGAAAGGGGTATCTTTCACAGTTGCTGCTTGAGTCTTGATAAGCTCTGTCATAAAAGTTCATTGCTGTGGGATATGTACAGTTTCGCTTATGTCTGATCTAGGAGCGGCACGGCTGAGTGTAGAGGAGTTTCTTGAGCAACAAGGGCATGTTGCAATGTGGGGTATTGTGAACAATCCAGGCTTTGAGAAAGGACGGTTGGGGAATGAGAAACTAAGTATCAAAGGAAGGTTCCGAACTGAGGAAATAGGTAACAAAGAGACAGTGAGAAAGAAAACGAAAGCAAAGATATAGAGAAACCGCAAGGCTTGCAAAAACCAAAGCGTGCTGTTAGCAATATAACTAGCCAATCATTATAAGAGGCGTTATGTGAATAGTTGAACCAATAATATTATGCCGCATGTATTCCTCTGTAGTATATAAATATGCCTGTGTTTCACAATAAAGTGGAAGCATTCACCATACTCCTATGGAGACTGTGTTTGTATTCTGAAGCTCCCCAAACCCTTCAGACAAGCTCTGAAAAATACCTATTATGTGTTTTCAGTGGGAGGGGTAAAAAGACAGAAAGTCCTGCAGGGAAGAGAGTGTGTGGGTTGAACTCTGCAGTGACAGCATTGTATGTGTCATGCGCTGCGTCAGAGCATCACAATGTCCAAAGAGCACTTGTCCTAGATCAAGTTAAGTTGTGACATTGTTTTCAGGCAGATTTGTTAGGATGATTTGCAGTATATCTGTAGCAGTGGATGTTAGGTGTGAGTGCTAATCTTGCTCCCAGAACAGTAAGATCATTATATATACACCCCACAAAGACTGCCCAGACCTATATTCCCTGTGTACTACAGAGTATAGAAACAACTGTGTTTGTGGAGGTAGCAATAAGGAGATCCATGGAGAAAATGTTTTATTAAAAACTGGTATTGATCAAAGATATAAACACAAGAAAACAATGGCCAAAAGCAACTTCTTGCATGAGACTGAGCGGTGGCTGGGAGCCCAGTGAAGTGGCCAGGAGCTGCTGGCAACTCCCCCTGCACAACGGTGCAGCTGTTGAGTGGGGTCCTTTGAGCACCCCGGGGGTGGGCTTGTGTCTCTGTACATCTGCCTTCGTGCTGCCTGTCTGCCAGATGATCCACACTCGCCCTGCTCCTCTCAGTATCGGTTTGGCCATACTTCCCTGGCAGCCCCACTGTGCTGCTAAAACAACAAAGATTGATACCGCTCTAACAGTGAGTCCATGAAAATTGGTAGGATCCTTGTGCAGACTGATCCATGTGAGGTACCCCGTGCTTAACTATAGATGAGCTAGTAGGATTAAGGACTTGATTCCAGTGATCAAGTCAGTGACACATCCCATTTATACAAAATGTGACAGGCTCAGTAGGGCACCTGTGTTTGCAGGCTGCATTGAAAGTCACACCATTGGAGAACACACCTTACCCCTCCTTACCTTGCTTCTATCCTGCAACCA